ATTTTCACTATCGAATGATTGTCAGAATTAAGAGGCCCGCTCGACATATAACTGTAACGGTAATTTTAAATGAAAGTTATGATAACCTTTTTTGTCGACGAGTTAAATTTGATAAAATTGACGGCGTATTACACTGTATTTATTACAAATGTAGTTAAATTAAAGATCGTTTCTTTCGTTATCTACTTTCATTTTCTTTACAACATAAGTGAATATGAATATAATGTCCGACGCAAGTTTTTTAATAGTAAATCAGAAGGGAATAACTGTTAATCCACCCATGATATGATCCATTATAGGAATCAACTATGGCTTTTTTATCTTCATTTAATGCAATGGTTGCATTACATGATACTCATTCTTATTATTACTTGTTTCAAACTACTTTTAAATTAAAATTGAATATTCTGTTGTAACACAAATCCAATTCATTTAATAAGATATGTACAGTGAGTCAACATAATTTCAATAACATACAAAAAACATCGATAAATGAATCTCCTCACTTCTCCCTAAAGTCTCCCCACTTCTCCCTAAAGCAGCTGGAGGGAGAAGTGACTTCTCCCTAAATTTTGAACCTAGCTTGAGCCCTGGTAAAGGACATCAAAGGACTCCTATTGTCACGGGCTATTATTATCAATCAATGTGTATGTTAAAGATACTGATTAATTAGGTGATAATTATGATTGACTCATTCATTCAAATTTGATTAGTGACCACCTGCAATTAATTAGAAGGTTATGCTATTAAAAAAAACACGTTTTTGTTTCATATTTTTTTGAAAATTACTTTACAAACAAAATGCATCTAAGGCAACACATTTTTATTATATCTATATTCACAGGCACAAGTATCAGACCTGGGAAGAAAAAATATGAAGTTATTTTATCAATCTGTTCATATTTTTTCTTCCCAGGTTCGATAATCGTGCCTGTGTCTACTGGTTGGAGAGATAACTCCGACACTAAATCACATATTTTTTGTAATATCTTGATTATTGTCCTGTATATTTTAAATATTGAACCACCTAAATAAAGTTCAGTTCAAAGACTACATTACACTTCAAAAATTATGTATGAAAATGAAAATTGGTACTTCTTTAAGGTCCTGAATGAGGTATATAAAACATGATCTTTTTACCCCTCAACAGTAGATATAGTCGACACTTAAATTTTTAAGTAAAAAATGACAGGAAAATCAGCATCATTAATTTATTTTTACATCTTGTATGTTTTATCTGATTTTTGTTGATGTAAAAACAATTTTTCAAAAAACTTTCTCAAGTCAGTGGCCTGTGGTCAATACATTTTTAACTACCTCAATGTAATTTAGTTAAAAGAACGTTTTGAAGCAGATTTTGACAACTAAAAGTTTTGGTTATTTGAAAAATATTAAAAAGTTTACCAACTTACAAAAAATTCACCACATTCTGTACTGCTCCTATACTGCTAGGTGACCATATGCTTTTTTGTTGAAAAACAAAGTTATAAAAATTATGTTTATCAATTGTCGGGGTTATCTATGTGTCGGAGTTATCTCTCCGACCAGTATATTAGCCTCGAGTGCCCTTATTCCGTGGGAGTCCTGGTTCCGGTGATTTTTGTTTACTTCCTATCTCGCGCGAAATCGATGACGTCATACGTCAAGTGCTCGATAAAATTTTGTGTATTGCAGAACGCAAACAGCAAATAGAAAATCAACTCAAAATGCGATCAAAGCAGGTAAAACAGGTCATGACAATTCAGTTTGATGTAAATTTGTGTTTTTTACTATTTCCAATTCATTGCTTTCAAAATCTGCCTATTTTTGCTGCAAAAACATCATTTGAAAATTTGACAGCTGATTTATGTTTGTAAACAAACCTCCATTGACATTTTCCCATCGTGCAATTTTCGGTTAGTTAGGGCTAAGCACATTTTTCATGAGTGGTTTTCAGACCTATTTCTTATGTGATTTTTTATCATTTGTTTTATCTCAAAATTGCTTTTCAGCAAAATCCAAAGAAAATTCGCCGTAAAAACAGGCTTTACTCCCCTACAGCATTGACAAATGCCTATATGCATATAAAGGAGCATGGCACATCAGTTAGAAAAGCTTCAAAACTCTATGGTGTCCCAGAGAGTACCCTTAGGGACAGAACTTTAGGGTTAGTTCATATTGATACTCTGTCTGCTGGTGGACAACCCTTGTTTGACGAGTATGAAGAGGCTAATCTTGTCAGCCATTTCAAAACTATGGCAGGATATGGCCATGGGTACACAAGACAAGAGTGTGTTGACATTGCCACTGATTATGCTGTCCAGTTAGGTCGCCGAACTCAGGATAGACCACTCACGATGAAATGGATGAGAGGGTTTTTAAAGAGGTGGCCAGAATTAAAGGTTGTTAAACCAAAAGTAGGTATTTTTTTGTTTTATATTGAAATAATTCACATCTAATAATTAAATATATTCAAGTACAGACTACTACAGGAGACCTATATCATAATATGCTTTTTAATGTATTACTTCATAATTTGTATTCAATCAATTGTTATTCTTAAACATATTATTATTCTCCATTCTAGGGTCTAGAACACGCCCGTGCAAAAATGGCATCACGTGATACAGTGATGAAGTACTTCATCAACTTAAAAGAAACAATTGCAAACCACAACATTGAACCCCATTTGATTTTCAACATTGATGAAAAGGCGGTCAAAGTTGAACATAAGCCTCCTAATGTAGTGGCAAGTTCTGATTACATCCCCTCTGCTGTTACCTCTGGCAAGGGACAGATTGTAACTTTGATTGGTGCTGGAAGTGCAGCTGGACAAGCTATCCCCCCTTATCTTGTTTTTCCAGGACAACGCATGAGGTCTGAGCTTATGATTGGAGCATCGCCAGGTTAATTATTTAATTTTAAAAAAAAGTTAATTATTTAACAAATATCTTAATACTGATATTTTTTTTAGCATATTTGGTAGACTTTTTTCACAGTAAAAATATTATATTGGCATAGTTAAATCAAACTATTTTTACATTTCAGGTGCTGATGGAACAGTTAGTGAAACCGGCTGGTCTAATGGCAGCATTTTTAGATACTATTTAGAACATCACTTTCTAAAATTTGTTCCTGGACGCAATGATAAGAAAATCCTTGTGATCCTAGATGGGCATAAGTCTCATGTGTCTGTAGGTCTCTCTGAATGGGCACATAAATTAGGAATTGTTATTTTCATATTGCCACCCCATTGTAGCCACATTCTTCAGCCCATGGATGTTGGATGTTTTGGCCCCTTTCAGAAAATATATGATATAAAATGTCACAAGCTCATAAGGGAAGTTTCATCAGTAATTACCAGATACAATATTTGCCAAGTATCTTGTTCATCTTATCTAGCTGCTCTTACCCCAAAAAATGTCCAGGCTGCATTCCGCCGTGCAGGCATTTACCCGTTTGATCCCTTGGCCATTGCACAGGAGAAACTTCTACCTGCAGAGGTGTTCAGATCATGTTCTTCTGACACTGATGTCAGTGATGATAGCCAGGCAACAGTGATAGGTGGGGTCCAGTCAGAATTAAATGAAATGTCTCAGGACATTGTAAATTTCTTGCACCAGAAAGAGGCTAGTCTTAAAAGGGTAAAAAATGAAAACAAAACAAAACCAAGAAATACCATGAGTAAAATTGTTGCAGGTAAGGAAATCAATGAGTCTGTACTGAAACAAATGACTGAGCATGTTCAAAACCAAGGAAAATCTAACAAGTCAAAATCTAAGGTTAAGCAGAGTAAACAGCAAAAGAAGACCCCACCATCACCACAACCTGGGCCATCATGTATAAATCTTGTAGAAAATGTGTCAGATACTGACAGTGAAATTGATGAGTCTGAACTTTGTTGTAAATGCAAAAAATTTACCCCAGTTGAACTGCAATTTTGTAAAGTTTACAACATGGGGGCAGTGTGATTCTTGTGGCCACTGGGTGCATTTGATTTATTGTACTTCTGAAAGAGTCTTAAGGCGTGGAGATCACTTTGTTTGCCCATGTTGCAAGGAGGAAGAGTGAATTTGCATGCATCCTAGCATATGTGTGACTTGATTACAAGATGTAAATAAACTAAATTGACAATTTAATTCCTTGAGAATATGTTTCATAAAATGATAACTGATTAAAATTGTGAAAAATTTATGTTTTGAATTAGAATTACTATGTATAAAACATATGTACCTGTAGAACCCAACATAAAAATGTGAGTGGCCTAATTGTTGTTTTATTAGGAGTTACCCCCCTTGATTAGCATGTGTATGACGTCACCGGAATCAGGGCACCATGTTTTTACAGAATAATTTTTGGAAGGTGGTCAAAGTTTTGAAAAAAAATCATGAACTACTTATGCTATTTTAATAAAAACCAAGGCATTTTGAAGGTAAGTTATTTGTTTTTATTTGGCAATTGCTAAAACTGGTTTTTTCATTCTTTAAATTGGATTTATTCTCAATCCTGTTCTTATATCACCGGAACATGGGCACTCGAGGCTAATTTTATCGAATCTGCAAGACAAATAAATAACTTTTTTTTCTAAATATACTTTATTTCAGCAGAGGTACAATGACTTATGTATAATTATATAATAATAATAAGATATTTCTTATTATTCATTTACCTTAACAACATGCAAAGCAAAGTAAATTATACGTTATAGGCCTATATATTTTTGTAAAGTGGGCCGAGTTGACCCGTGCCGAGTTGGTATAGGGCCGAGTTGACTCTTTTCCCTAATTTCATATTTGCCAATATTACAAAAACTAAGTTTAACAAAATTTCTGAAAAAACATGACATTTTGATCTAATACAAATCACATTTGCTGTAAATTGCATTCATGAAACAAAGAACCGAATCAATCATCTTTCATGACCTACATTTTACGGATTACCTCCCTTCGACATAAAATCTCACATCAATTCTAAGTTGAACGAATATCATTGTCACTCTAACTATTTTGATAGTAAATTACCTTTACTTATTTACGTTAATATAATGTTCCTAACTGCTTGGCAAGATGACGTAAGATACTGCATTAAACTTTGAATTTTGGAGATTTGAACGTGCGTCTCGCCGCCATATTTTATTTGCCACGGGAGATAAATATTACGGGCTATGTCTAAAATTTTACGTTTCCGCCGATGTTGAGCAGCTAAACGACCATTTGATCAATAACTCAACTCCTTCGAGTTTTAGCTTTTAAGGCTTTATAACTTTGATCACGGCTCTGATAAACATTAATATCTATGGATTGACTCTTGTTTTGTCGCTAAGATGGCATGGATGAACTGTAGGTTTTTATAACATTTTAAGATTGTTTACCCTTTGTGCAGAAAAATAGACATGTACAGTAATGAACAAATATACACAGCACGATTTGATTGGTATTTGTAAATATTGATCTTCAACCTGTTAACGAACTAGATACTTTCTTGTGTTAACCGAGTATCAGTATACGCCGGAAAATGTCTGACTGAAGTCTGATCTCACAAAGTCAAACTCAAATTGAGCAAGGCAATTTAGTGTACCAGGCTCTACTTTGTGTATATCGTACGTGATGATTTATCACGCAGAATATTTCCTAAATAATTTGGCCGTATAGTGGAATTGGAAATATACAAGTCAAACAAACAACAACAAGTTTTTAAATTCAAACTATAAATTTAATTGAGTGAATGAATCAATTATGTATAATTATATAGATATATAGAACCTATGTTTTCTAATTAAGATTACGATAATTTATAAGTTTATAGAAAGAATTGCCCTACGATATTTAAACAATAATAGATCTATTTATTTTGCAATCAGCATAAATAAAATGAAGAGAAATAGATTCTCAAATTCTCTAATATCCAGACGACAGGGAAAGTTTGTTTTTTTTTGCCTATGCTACAAATCAGATAGCTTCGTGTAAATCAAATAGCAACGTGTTTGAATGCTCTTTTTATTAAATGTTACCTCACTTTTATATCACTGAATAGAAAAAGGTAATATCCAGATTTTCAATGAGTTGTCACCAGATCCTACGATATTAGAGCGACTGATATATGTGTATTGCAACCACTGCCAAAAAGAGGTCATAATATGCAAAAATAACCCCCACTGCGATAGTAAAGCAGTAGAAATATGGTGATAAATACTGAAAAAGATAAATACTGAAAAAAACAGTCATTAATTGCATAAATTTACACTTGAATCTTTAATTTTTTTTCCTTTAGTACATTTTTCCCATGTTTAATTTTCTTGAAATATTTTGGCTCATCTGGAGGCATGCAGCTTTAAAGGAAGGATATAACTTTTCATAACTGGTAAAAGGGAGATAATCATAACAATAATTGCTTAGTTACATACAACGGTTATGTCATCTTGGAAATAATAATAATTGCTGTTTAAGATAATGCAACGTTTAACAAATATATTTCTATTTTGATTTATATGTATAAGTATTTTCATGCAAAATTTTGTCAGCCTAAACTTAAAAGTAGCATATTTATATTTGTGTTATTTACAAATTATGTTAGATAGGTCATTTACCTTGTTATACTTGTCAACAAAATTTCTCAGCTAACTTGCTGTAATTTATAACACTTAACACCACATTAAATTTGATCTTTATGATTAATGACTAATGTATGTATACAATTTTTTGTTGAATGAATGTTATGTTATGTTATGTTATGTTATATAGAGGATATTGAATGAGTGTAGTTTAATACTAAATTTATTGAATGAGTTGAATAAAATCATATTATGCGAGCCTCTGGCGAGCATAATATTGTTTTATTCAACGAGTTCAATAAATTTAGTATTGAATCTACACGAATATAATATTCCTTTTATCACATATATTAAATAAGAACAGTAAACTGTTAAAATGAGTATTTTTTCAATGACGCGCCTATAGTGTAACGCTTACATTAGCGCGCTTTAACGCTATGTTTATATATAGCGCAAATGACGTAACGTCAAAGTGTTATTACACTAGTTTATTTCATGCTTTCCAGTGTTTTATTTAGGAAATAGATATCAATTCTGAGTGCATTGTTGTAGAATAATGCACGGTTTGAGTTCAAATGCGTAGTAATATAATCACGAAGGCCGATAGGCCTGAGTGATTAATTACAAAGCATTTGAACGAAAAACGTGCATTATTATACAATAATGCACGAAGAATTAATATCTATTTCCATTCTAACACGTCAAGATAAAAATATAATTATTATTATAAAGTTGGACTTTATGTTTGGTGGTTAAATTTGTTTTCGCCTCAGAGTTACCAATAGAAACGTTCTTTAAAGGCTGTTCCAGTGGGTTGAAAAAACTGTCGTTAAATTTACCGTGTGTAGAAACATTTTGAGAATAACGAATTTTGAAAACGTTTATAAAACTTTGTTTGTTTATTTTATTTCACTCTATAATTTTTGAAGCGAAATACAAATTATTAAAAGTGAAATAAATTTAAAACTTAACTGGTTTGCGACATTAAAATAGCGTACTTGGTTTGATTGTTTTGCACGTGCTGTTTGGCGCTACATTGTGACGTCACGTTAACAACACTTTAAACGTCTGTACAGCGTTAACGACTGAATTAAAGATATTGGTGTTCGGATTCATTTTCTTAGTTAGAACATTTTCTTTCATTCTAGATAGTTTTCACAACAAAATTCGACAAAAAATTGTTTTAATTTTTCAGATTTTTTAAACAAAATGGCGCCCTCAATGTAAAAATACACAGGGAGATAATAAGAACGGCGAGTGCATTGTTGTAGAATAATGCACGCTTCGGGCCTTCTTTGTTTATATAGAAAAATTTCCGATAGTGTTAGAATGTAATATATCAGATGATTATATTCTGATAAACCACTAGTGAAATTTATAAAATATAAATTTTCACTGTAGACGGACTACATGTATATCTGAATGCGGATGAAAAGAAAATCATAACTAAATGGAATAACAGGCAGAAATTAATGCCGTCGTGCGTAAATTTTGCTTCTTTAGGAAAAGAAAGTGGATGTCATCATACATCATGTTAAAAACGTAACAAAATTAAAGAAATTTAACAGACCTATATTTCAAAATTGATTATGTGACGTCATGAAGTGATGACGTCACAAAGGAGAATGCGTGACGTTACGCGGCAAAACCAGTAAAAAAAGACTTAAAATCACTTAAAAAGCATGAAATAAAAAGAAAATTTATTTGTTTTACATATAAGATTGAAAAATATTTCATTCGTGAACACCAGCTATTATATTTTCACTCGTGGCTACGCCACTCGTGAAAATATTGCATCTGGTGTTCACTCAGTGAAAATATATTTCAATCTTACATGCAAAACAAACAAATATCCTCTATGTAATATCGTTTTTATTAAATGGCTTTATCACACACCCGTGCCGATTTTGCGACTCCGTAAATATGGTATTGCACGGCTGTGCATATATTTTGACGTGACGTCATTAGCGTTATACAAACATAGTGTAAAGACGCGCTAAATGTTAGCGTTAAACTAAAGGCGCGTCAATGAAAAATGACTTTTATTTCACTTTAAGCGGTCTTTATTTTTGGGTATGTGATAAATAGAATATTAAATTCGTGTAAGTTCATTACTGAATTTATTGCACTCGTTGGATAAAATAATATTATGCTCGCCAGAGGCTCGCATAATATAATTTTATTCAACTCGTGCAATAAATTCAGTATTGAACTTACACTCATTCAATATCCTCTATTTATTACACTCCTGGGCCGCGGATTATTTGATAAATAGAGGATATTGAATGAGTGTAAGTTCAATACTGAATTTATTGCACTCGTTGAATAAAATAATATTATGCTCGCCAGAGTGCACGAGTTGAATAAAATTATATTATGTGAGCCTCTGGCGAGCATAATATTATTTTATTCAACGAGTGCAATAAATTCAGTAATGAACTTACACGAATTTAATATTCTATTGATCACATACCCAAAATAAAGTTTAAAGTGAAATAAGAGTAATTTTTCATTGACGCGTCTATAGTATAACGCTAACATTTAGGGATTTAGCTCAATACAGGATTGAAGCAGTAACTCTAGACGCTTGCAGAAATCATGGTCACAAAATAGACAAATATCGTTTTTTTCGCCGATTTTTTTACATTTTTCATTCATTATCATACATAAATCGGTGTGAAAAGCTGAATTAGACCTATTAAAGTTCATTCCGTTGGGTAAAAAGGCAAGATTTTAGCATTTTATGATTCAAGCGCCTTGTCCGGTATATACCGGAATACGGTATTTAGTGTGGTGCTCCAATCCTTTTTTTAGTCTCACTCAACATTTAGCGCGTCTTTACACTATGTTTGTATAACGCTAATGACGTCACGTCAAAATATATGCACGGCCGTGCAATACCATATTTACGGAGTCGCAAAATCGGCACGGGTGTGTGATAAGTTATGTTATGTTATGTTGTATTATGTTACGTTACGTTATGTTATGCTACGCTACGTTACGTTACGTTACGTTACGTTACGTGACGTTATGTAAATTGTATGTTATATAGAGGATATTGAATGAGTGTAAGTCCAATACTGAATTTATTGCACGAGTTGAATAAAATTATATTATGCGAGCCTCTGGCGAGCATGATATTATTCTGCACAACAGTTTTGTCTGTATATATTTAAGTCTTAAGGGCTTAAGCTGTTAGGTTTTTGCACTTTTTATCACCGTTGATAGGTTTTTAGTGGATTGAGTATACATGTATTTGGTAGGATATGGCACATCCACCGCCCCCATGACCAGTACGTTTCATATGAACATAGCCATTATTGTAGAAAAAGAACAACATCATTTCCATTCAAATTTTTACACAATTTATTAAAATTTTCGTGTATGTAACATATAGCTCTAATAAGCCTAATAATACCTCTAATAAGTCTTTATGCCTTCTGCTTGTCTCTTGATAAAATTCATTACTCTAATTAAATTTTTCATATGACTGTACTGCAGTAGATATATTTAGACTTTTTCAGTAGGCACCCCATCCCCAACAACAACAAAAGATTTATAGAAATGAAATTAATTTCAACCTTATTTAATAACCGACTTAATTACCCCACGGCAATTTGCTTTTCTT